ATGCCCAAGGACATCCAGCTGGCCCGCCGCATCCGCGGGGAGAGGGCTTAACGTGGCCGCGCACCTCAAGCCCCAGGTCTACAAAGGCTCTTTTAAGAGCCCCCCACCTGATCGGAAAAGAGTTGATCTTCCTTTGGAAAGCCCGGAAGGGAGCGGCGGGGAGGGTTCCCAGCGGCGGAGATCGCATCCCGCGCTTAAGTTTGCTTGCCAAGTGGGTTATAAATACTCCCAGAGGCATGTTGTATGTATCCCCGCGCATTAGAGGAAACCTCAGGGTAGCAAAAGCAGCTGGTTTCTGAAACGACCGATGTAAAAATTCCCCCCTCAAATACTGGGGCAGTCAGGAAGCTGAAAAGCAGCATTCACAGTAGGACTGGATACAAGGATATTGGTCCATAACGTTGCAAACCTAAACCCTTTTACCTGGAAAGAAGGTCCGTTTAAAGGGCTTACTTTTGGGTAAACATGCCTAGATCTGCTCTGTGACCATTGAAAGCTGCCCGAATGAAACCAAGCGTGCGGGAGGCGAGGATCTTTTCTGACAGCCTCCACCGGTGTAAGAGGGAATGCCCTTAAAACGGCACACACACGCTTGGGTTTTCAAGAATCTTTTTCTAAATAGTGGGAAAGAAGTGCTTTTCAACAGATTGACAACACAAAGCCTATACATCACGTTCGTTCAATGACATTCACTCCTGGGTAAAGGAGCCTCAAAGGCGTTTGCTGAGTCAGCCAAGGTGATTTATTTTCTGCGATTTTGCAGTATTTGTTATCATCGGCGGGTCTCTGAGGAAAAAAAAAAAGAGGACATATAATTTAGGTGGGAATTTGAAGCAGCTTCCTTCTGCTAGGCTTGGCATTTTTATATCTGTTGTGCAGAGGTGGTCGGCAGAAGCCCGGGTAGCTCAGTCGGTAGAGCATCAGACTTTTAATCTGAGGGTCCAGGGTTCAAGTCCCTGCGCGGGCGTTACCAGTATTTTTCAGCTTTCTGCAATAAGATAAAATTCTCTGCACTTGAAATTGGTAGACGTCACTTACAAAAAAATGACAATGGCTCACACGCATTACTAGCTGGACTAATTAAAATTAGAGATTTAAAAAAGAAAAAAAGTTGTGCGGTATGTTGTATTACTTTTGAGTGGAAGCTTATATGAAGTTATCCAAGGAGTATTCCAATAAATGCCGAGAAGCTAAAAAGGAACCTGTACTTTTAATCCATAGCAAATTTCTAGCTAGAGTCACGGGACGTCTGTGTCTGTTTCTGATTTGCCAATCTTTAGTGTAAGCAAAAATTCCGCATGCCGACGAAGGTGGGATTCGAACCCACGCGTGCAGAGCACAATGGATTAGCAGTCCATCGCCTTAACCACTCGGCCACCTCGTCAGACACAGGCGCTGTCTCGTTACCTTGATCTTTTACACCGAACGTTTCACCTGCAATTACGATATTTTTCAGACATCCTTGCGATGAGTCAGAATTAAAAGTTCTTATGCAACGCGTTTCTTCCTGCATTGTCCTATCGTCGGATGTCTGGAAATCCTCCTAAACTCTTGGATGGGAAAAGAAGCACATGTGAAATGAAGAAAGGGCATCTCTGGTTCACCTGTAGTGATCTTTCCCCACTTGCATGGAGCGAGATGGCGAAGAGGGTGCCTTTGTCTTCCTTTGGGCCAGGGATCAGCAACTTTTAACTCTCATAGAGCCATTTGGACCCGTTTCCCACACAAAAGAAAACACCAGGAGCCGCAAAACCCTTTTGACAACTAAAATGAAGATAGCACTGCATATATCGTTTTTTGCCTTAATGCTATGTATATCTTCATTATGATTTAGCTGCAGCTCTTGTTCAGTCACTAAAAGCTGTTCTTTTTAATCTTACATTATAAACTAGTAGGACTCCTTTCATATATTTTGAACAGGAGAACAACTTCCTGCAGAGTCAAAGTCAGTGCTAAAGGGCTGCATGCATTAAACAGCAAACCCCATAAGTTCGTCAGCAGTAAAAGCAAATGAATCTACCCACGTATCATTAAACGTTTGGTTTTCTTCAGAAACTTTTCTTTTCTTTGATTTATCCATGGTTGGCCTACAGGAGTGGCGGTGGAGTTCAGTAAATCAGCTGTGCCAGAGATATAGGTGCGTTTAGTGAATGATTAGCAGATAAACTGTCAAGTGCTGTGAATTGTGACAGGTCCCAAGCGCAGCTTTTAACATTCAGAGGAAGGAGATGACATTGGGACAAAGAGAATCTTTTCAGCAGGGTTTCGTGCAGCATGAGAGC